CAAGGAGTTTGAACTGTGGTGAACTCACACCTTAATAAGCGTATCACAAGAACGTCGTATACAAACTACAGCAAAAAAATTTAATTCATTACCTTGTTTGTAAAGGAAATATTGCAAAATGTTACATGTCATTTTGGAATTTTTCATATCCAATAAAGTTCTTTTTTTTTCTACGAGATATAGACGTGTATGTGCTTATTATTCTCTAATATCTGACCATTGTGCTTACCTCCATCAAATATTTTTTTAAGGAGGACTTGAAGAACTCGATAATTTTACCAACAATAGAATCCTGTGGAGAAGGACGTAGCACACAGACCGATGCGTATCCGATAGTAGTAGCGCCCCCAAGACGAAGAAAAAGCGATGCACCAGTGAGTATGGACGAGGTGAAATGCTCAATTCGAAACCCTACCAAATACACAAATCACTATTTATTAGTGAAGTTGTGCTATCTTAGATTGAGGAACGCGAGGCACTATATCAAGTGATTGAGGACGCTCTAGGCGAAACCATCGACCGTAATTCACGAATACGCACAAATCAAATTATTGCGAATAGCGCACGGAAACAGGTAGATGCAATAACAACACCAGTGAAAAATCATGTTGTTGAACCTACTTATATCTCTTGCAGGGACAGATCTGGCGCGATGCAAAAGAGTTCATCGCCAATCAGCTGGTTCCACAGTCTATTCAACTCGCGAATAAAAGCCGATCCAGAAAGAAAACTGCAGTCGAGATAGTAGCCAGTATCAAATGTTATCCATAATTATCCATATTCTCCACTGACGCGATTTGGCATCAATAAGCCTAATATCAACCTCAGAACAGCTCAAAGAAAGGTATCCAAATGTAGTTTTGTGGGAGTTGCATTTTGTGTTAGATGGAATAATTTGATTTGTTTAGAAAAGAAAACAAAATTATATTACACGGGAATATAGTTCCTCGTATATTAGGTTGGTGCTTACTAACAGCTTCCATGTTTGCTCACATTTAGATCTTCCACATAAATTAAGTGCAGAATAAAAATCTGTTGCACCTCATG